CGCTCCATATGGGGAGCTACTAGGGCGGATCCAGCCTTTGTCCAACAAGTCATCGAGTTGCGCGCGGAGGACCGTAAGCTCCTCCTCGCTCATGCRGTAAATGCAGCCTTTCGGTGGCACGACACTGGCCTCAAGACTGATCTCGTGAGAGATCAGCCGATCCGCCACCACATCACTAGGTGACTTGAGGATGTCGGTGAACTCGCCAAGCAACCGCACCACACGACTACCGTGATGGTCCGTAGGAAGCATAGGCCTATCTAGTCGGGCTGCTCGTAAGCGCAAGTAGCTCGGAACGACTTGGCCGTCACCACTTGGCACTGGATCGAAGGGTGTGGAAGAGGAATAGTACACGACACTTCAACGCCGAAGGCGCCCCGAACGGTAAGAGTCCGCCAGTGGAAGTTGACCGTGTGATCCACACTTGCAAGTCAAGGCATTCCCAAAATGATATCGAAGTTCGTGTCCAAAATGTCGAACGTCACCGGTTCGCATGCATGAGGTGCGAAATACACCGGTACGGCCTCGCTGTAACGGTCGATAAGTTGTTGCGTCCTTCCATCCGCCAAATTGAAGTTGTTGCGTCCTTCCATCCGCCAAATTGATCGCCGTCGGGTTTGCCTTCCTCCGAACTTGTGCGCCAAGGCCAGCCTTTTGCATAAAGGTTTGACTCATAAAATTGCAAGTTGCTCCGCTATCCGGCAAAGCGCTGCAGGCACTTGCCCAACTTGGATGTGGACGTAGAGGACCGGTGCGTTGTTGTCATCGTACGCTGCTTGCGAAACTCGTGGGCCACCTTGGTAACATATGCAAGGATGTCCCCCACCGCAGCTTCGTCATCCGTCGGCGAAGTTGGTGGTGCATAGAAGGATAGATACGTGTGGAGATCCGCGCATAATGCTGCGTATTGCGGTCCTGACAAGCGGCCCGTGGTCAGAAGAGGAAGCCATGCGAAATCCCCTGGGGGGAGTGGGTCGAAGACCTCTATGTTGAACTCGCACACCGAATCCTATGAATACCACTTGAAGATGATAAGTCGCAGCTACAGGACGGAGAAGACGCCGCACACTCGTTTTTTCCTTGAGCACGAGTACCCAGCGTAGGAACGAGCCGGGCAACATAGTCCTCATAAGAATACAAAAGAGGAGGACTGTCGACATCCGGATGTGCCTCAGAACGAAAGGCGGTCACCCGCGAAGCGACCGGTTCCGAAGGCATCGAGAGTGTCGTCAATTCACTCCCGGCGGTGCTCAGTTTCCCGACTTGCCCCTGCCTTTCGACACGCAACCCACTGTGTTTTGGAGATCACTGTGACACCACAGACAATAGCGGAATCTCGTGCGTAGCTTGTACGCACGTTCGGAGAGACTGTAGTGGGACCATGGGGATGAAACTGTTGCGTCGGGCCCGGGGATAGATGCGGTGTTTGTCTTCTTCTTGCCGAGTCCTCGGCCTTTGCCAAGGCGGCCACCATCCCGGGCGGTTGCGAGTCTGTCCCCTTCATTGGCGACCGCGGCCACTTTCAGCCGATGTTGTTCTCTGCTCGGGCATGTCGCAGACGAACGGTTGAGGTTCTTGGCCTCCTTGTTCGTGACAATGATCTGCGCGGCCTTGTCAAAAAGCTCCACTGTTGTCGTCTGGGTGTCCTCGATGTGAGTCAAGGCGTTGCCCAACGCCGGACACGACCTTGTGATGAAGTAGTGTTTGACGGCCTTGAAGCCCATCTGAATGTCTGGGACGGATGCCAAGCGTTGGTACTCTTAACAATCCAATCAACACTTGACAACGTGCGTTGTTCGAAGGTCAACAATTTGTCCATTGCCTTGATCTCCGGCGGCTCTACTTGGAACCGCTTATGCCACGCCGCCTTTAGATCATCTCAGCTGATCTTGGTGTACAAGTTGGAAGCTACCACCCCGTACTTGGACAAGAGATTGTCCAACCATGCTTGGCACGCGCCCCCCGACCGCGAGTATAAGTACGCGTGTTTCTTGCCCTCGCTGACATGATGTAGCTGCAACTTGAGTTCCAACTTGGGGAACCACTAAATCGGGTCCGTCTTCGTCTAATCGCAGAAGATCTCCTGACCATCGAGCTATGGAGTCGCCTCGCGCGGTGCTGAACTCGGGTTGGCCTGCTCCAGTTGTTGTGTGGCGGTTTGCCGTAGTTGTGTGCCGTCCTTGAGGGCTCCGACGTCGATCTCCAATGCATTGAGGCGACCGGAGGTGTTGGAGGAGCTGGCATCGGGGGCGGTGACGGGTCGTTGCTGCAGCTGCTGGAGGCGGCTGTTGACTTGATCAAACGCCCGCTTGTGCGTCTGAACCGCGTTGTCGAGGTTGTGGATGTCCACCTGCTGTGCACTGCACGTTGCCAGGAGATCCGTGAAATGGGAGAGGAGTAGAGCGATCTTGCTTTCACTCTCTTCCATCTTACCATTGTCGGCCTCAGCTCGCCAGTCCGTTGCCATTGTGAGCAAAGCTCGCTCTCTGTTGAATACCTTCTCACGTCGTTGATTTCGTTCTTCATTGGCAGCATTTGCTCCTGCCTCGTCTTGCTGGCGCTGCTGTTTGATTGCCAACAGACGTGCCTTTTCGGCATCCTCTGCCTTCTTCTCTGCAACTGCTACCTCATCCGCCCGTTTCTTGGCTTCGGTATACAAAGTTAGCATCCGGGCTTGATAGGTCTCGACCGTTTCCCCGGACTTATGATCCATGTCATTTGTTTGCAAGCGTGTGAGCATAGACCAGGCCAGAGGACTGCTGATGTGGCAGTGTTCGGCTGCTGACGTGGCGCGGCGGTGGGCTGGCGTATCCTGCTTATGTGGCAACTCACCAATGTCGTCGTAGGGGGTACCAAGAGACAGATAGGTTCGATATGAGCAGAGGGGGCAACAACATAGGTGGGAAGGGGTGGGTGCTGACGTGGCGCGGCGGTCGGCTGACATGTCCTGTTGACTTGGTCTGCTGACGTGGTCTGCTGACGTGGCCTACTGACGTGGTCTGCTGACATGGCCTGCTGACGTGGTCTGCTGACGTCGCCTGACATGGCAACACACCAATGCCGTCGTAGGGTGTACCCGAAGACAGATAGAGAACATATGACCAGACGGGGCAACAACATAGGTGGGAATGGGTGGGTGGGATAAATAGCCCAGATAAGGAGCCACTAATCAAAAAGAAAAGTTTGAACTTTTGCAGAGAACTTTTTTGGAGAAATTCTGGGCTACCAACCGGGCGGCCCGACCACCCCCTCCCTCGCCCGACGCACGTTCGAAACGCCCGACCAGGCGGGCCGCCCGATCGAAACCCGGGGCCCCCTTGCGCAAAATGGAGAGCGTGGGTTATTTCTCACGGTAATGCCCCTGGGAGACCGAGGCTGGAGAGGACAACAGGGCGGCGGCGAAGAAAAAAGTCGGGGCCCAGTAGGCCCTTTTTTTTTTCAGCCTCGAAGGTCCGTCGTTGATCATTGATGATCAACGGCGCACACGAGATCGCGATTTGAATTCGAATTGGGTTCGAATTTGAAAGCGCGCTTCCGCCGCTCGCCCTCCAAGCACAGGTCCTCCAGTAGTTGCTGCCTCGTCGTTGCTGCCTCTGTGCCTCGTCGTTGTTGCTACCTTTGCGCCTCGTCGTCGTCGCTGCCTGCCGCTTCGCCACCGCTCCTCAACGTCGTCTACATCGTGAGAAGGTGAGCCCCTCCTCCCTCATCAACCATGTCTCCCTTCCCCTCCTCCTACTCGTCTTAATCTGAGCCCGTGGCAACAAGGGGACAACGAAGAAGAGGAGGAGGACGAGGGGATCTTGATGGTAGGTGGAGGAGGAGGAGAAGGGTTGGCCACGTGACGACAAAGGGAGAAGTTCAACGGAGAAGAGGAGGAGGTCCAAAGAAAGAGGAGGAGGAGGGTTCGTAACGAAAGGTGGTCGCGGATGAGGAGGAGGAGGAGCAGAGAAGGATGAGGAGTAGAGGAGGAGGAGAGGAGAAGGACACCTTTTTTTTTCCGTTCGAAACTTCGTTGCGTCACTTTGGCGCCACGTGGCGAGAAAGGGGGATTGGGGCTGGCGCGCCACGTGGGGGAGGAGGAGGAGGAGAGGGAGGACGTAGTCTTAATGGGGGGTGGGGCTGAGGTGCCATGTGGTGAGAAAGGGAGAAGCGAAGAGGAGGAGGAGGAGGAGCAAAGAAGAGGAGGAGGAGGAGGGATCTTGATGGTAGGTGGAGGAGGAGAAGGGTTGGCTACGTGGCGACTAAGGGAGAACAGAGAACGGAGAATAGGAGTAGGAGGAGGAGGAGAAGAGGGAGGACAAAGTCTTGATGGGGGGGTGGGGCTGAGGTGCCGTGTGGCAAGAAAGGGAGAAGCGAGGAGGAGGAGGAGAAGGAGGAGGAGGAGCAAAGAAGAGGAGGAGGAGGAAGAGGAGGACGACGAGGACGGGATCTTGATGGTAGGTGGACGAGGAGGAGAAAGGTTGGCCACATGGCCAGAAGTGAAGAACAAAGAAAGGGAGGAGGAGCAGCAGCAGCAAAAGAGGAGGAGGGCGAGAGGAGAAGGAGACTTTTTTTTGTTTTTACGTTCGCTACTTTGCTGCGTCCCTTTGGCGCCACGTCGCCAGAAAGGGAGATCGGGGCTGGGGCGCCACGTGGGGAAGGAGGAGGAGGAGAGGGAGGATAGAGTCTGAATGGGGGGTGGGAAGAAAGGGAGAAACGAAGAGGAGGAGGAGGAGGAGGAGGAGGAGGAGTAGGAGTACGAGGAAGAGGAGGAGCAAAGAAGAGTAGGAGGAGGAGGAGGAGGAGGAGGAGGATGAGGATGGGATCTTGATGGTAGGTGGAGGAGGTCGACAAGGGTTGGCGACGTGGCGACAAAGGGAGAAGTTCAACGGAGAAGAGGAGGAGGAGGAGGAGGAGGAGGAGGAGGAACGAAAGGTGGTCGAGGATGAAGAGGAGGAGGTGGAGCAGAGAAGGATGAGGGGGAGAGGAGAAGGAGACCTCTTTTTTCTTTTTCTGCAACTTCGTTGCGTCACTTTGGCGCCACGTTGCGAGAAAGGGGGATTGGGGCTGGGGTGCCACGTGGGGGAGGAGGAGGAGGAGAGGGAGGACAGAGTCTTGATGGGGGGTGGGGCTGAGGTGCCACGTGGTGAGAAAGGGAGAAGCAAAAAGGAGGAGGAGGAGGAGGAGGAGTAGGAGGAGGAGGAGGAGGAGGAGCAAAGAAGAGGAGGAGGACGACGACGACGACGACGAGAACGGGATCTTGATGGTAGGTGGAGGACTTTTTTTTTTTTTTGCTTTCGCAACTTCGCTGCGTCCCTTTAAAGCCACGTGGCGAGAAAGGGAGATCGGGGCTGGGGCGCCACGTGGGGGAGGAGGAATAGAGGGAGGACAGAGTCTTAATGGGGGGTGGGGAGAAAGGGAGAAGCAAAGAGGAGGAGGAGGAGGAGGAGCAAAGAAGCGTAGGAGGAGGAGGAGGAGGAGGAGGAGGAGGACCAAAGAAGCGGAGTAGGAGTAGGAGTAGGAGGAGGATCAAAGAAGCGGACGAGTAGGAGGAGGAGGAGGAGGAGGAGGAGCAAGGAGGAGGAGGAAGAGGAAGGGGATGAGGAGGAGGAGGAGGTGGAGGAAGAGGAGGAGGAGCAAAGAAGGAGGAGGAATAGGAGCAAAGGAGGAGGAATAGGAGCAAAGGAGGAGGAGGAGGAGATGGAGGAGGAGGAGGACATCATGTTAATGATAGGTGGAGGTGGAGGAGGACGTCCACCTACATCTGTTCTGAACAGATCTGAGCTGATCTGACATGATCAGATCTGATCAGATCGTGTCATCCCACGTCTGATCTGTTCTGATCTGTTCTGATCTGACATAATCTGATCTGATCAGATCATGTCAGAACAAATCTGAACAGATGAGAACAGATGAGAACAGATCAGAACAGATCAGATCTGATCTGACTGCATCTGATCAGATCAGATCATTTCAGACCAGACCAGAACTTCTTCTGGTCTGAAATGATCTGATCTGATCAGATCCAGTCAGATCAGATCTGATCTGTTCTCATCTGTTCTCATCTGTTCTGATCTGTTCTGATCTGACATGATCAGATCATGTCAGATCAGATCAGATCTGTTCTTTTCTGATCTGTTCTGGTCTGTTCTGATCTGACATGATCTGTTCGGTTCTGATCGGTTCTGATCGGTTCTGATCTGGTCTGTTCTGATCTGACATG